GTGTGTGTGTGTGTGTGTGTGTGTGTGTGTGTGTGTGTGTGTGTGTGTGTGTGTGTGTTTACTTTTGCAGGGCATCCAAGCACAAGGAAGTGGTAAATATACATTCTGTTTTATGCACCAGAGGGCATAAATGGTTTCATAAAATATGTTTCTGTGTTTAATTAGACCTTTAATTGTGTTTCTGCTCTCAAAATTAAAGGTGCTTAATTGTGTTTAAAAATACTTTTTTTTCAGATTTATTTTTTCCATTTTTGTACTGATATTTTTGCTTTTCTTGTTGTTTTTCTTTTATTTTATAAACAAAACATATTTCAGTTACTAATACATCTTTGCCAACAACATCAACAACAACTACAGGTACACCAACAACAACTACGAATACACCAACAACAACTATGAATACACCAGCAACATCAACAACAACAGCTGCACCACCAGCAACAACAATAACAACAACAACAACAACAACATCTACTACATCTGCAACAACAACATCTGCAGCTACACTAACAGCTGCACCAACAATAACAACTACGGCTTTTACAACAACTACGACTGCACAAATAACAACTGCACCACCAACAACAACAATTTCACCAACAACAAGAATGGCATCACTACCAACAACAACAACAATGGCACCAACAACAATAACAACAACAATGGCACCAACAACAACAACAACAATGGCAACAACAACAACAATGGCACCAACAACCATTGCCGGTATGTTGAGACTTCTGGCAACATCTTAGTAGCTAAACTGATTTCTGAATCTGTCTAGAAGGGTAACGTAGACCATGTCAACAACCTGTAAATATGGTTGATAGTTCAATTACTTTTATTTTTCAGGTGTAGGGCAATGTTTTAAAAGTCCTAGTGACATCAGGAAAACTAAACATCACACTTTTCTTAATATTTTTCCTTAATGTTTTTCTGAATAAACAGTGATATCAAATAAAATGATTTTTATAAGATTGTTATAAATTGAAATTTTTTCTTATTATTCACAGTACCTGCAAAGGTTACCAGTCTCCACACACAGTTTGTTGACACATCTTATTTGGTTGTGAACTGGACTGGACCAAGTGGACAAAACCTKTCCTACAGAGTACACTGGACAGATGGAAACAGTGGCAAGATTTCAGCAGTGAACCAACAATCAATGAACATTACAAATCTGACCCCTGGAGTCCAGTACATAATAGCTGTTTGGGCTGTTGCGAGTGATAATCAAACTAAAGGACAGAATGTCACAATTCCTGTTTATACACGTAAGTGCGCATTTAAATTTGTCTTCTAAAGCTAAAATTTATGAATGTGGTGGTGATTCTTTGTGGAGTTGTTTCTCTCTCTCTCTCTCTCTCTCTCTCTCT